CTCGCAAGCATAAACACACACACACACACACACACACACACACACACACACACACACGCACACACACTTGCACACATACACACACTTGATTTTTTTTTTGGGGGGGTGGTGTTAGTCAGAATGCGTAAGATTTTCTCTTACACTGTTTCGCTTGAAACTCATTGAAGATGACCCGCATTCTGGTCACTCAACAGGACTTGAAGACGCACAGTTTTGGGGTACTTAATTAAAAGGGGGAAAAAAGCATAACACAGATTATGTTTCAATTTGATTTTGTTTATATCTGAAACTTTAAATAAAAAGGCGAACTACATCATGCAGTCTATGAAATGTGAAAAGTTCGTGTTTCTGATTTGTGCATGACGATTTGAAATGAGCCTCAGCATTGCCTTTGGCCTGTGTGATCGGACACATCTCTTGTCCGGTAACTCACTTGAGCCTGAGCTGTTTTTCACTCAGCATCCATTGCAGTCTGACACTTTTGGGGTATATTGAAGTCTTGACCCCCCAAAAAGAGGAAAAGACCGTGAAAGCTATAATAATCTAAGAAATGCAACAAGAGAAAGAAAGAAATGCTCTCACTGAAGAATAAAACTGCATCTAATTCGTCCGAACAGTTTTTATTTTATCAATATTTTGAACTGGCACTATCTGGGGGTTACGCTTTTTTTCCCGCCCAATTTATAATAAAATCTTCTGTCGCAATGCAGAGATGACTGACTTAGTCTGTCACAGCTAAAAACAATTATCGCACATAACTTTACTCAATTTTAACGAAATGAAACAAGTGTGTCAACTGTTACCTCGTTGTTTGTAACCGAAAAACACCGGAGATATCGATCGATATAGTTCCTCCCGTCAATGCACAAGAGTAGGCTCAAGTGGGTTAACGGCTTAACTCGTTGAACCGCGCAATGAAGATGTGCTGTTGTAAAACGTAACTTCATTATTCAAACAGATTTTTCGATTTTCTTTTCTTTACTGAAACTTTAAAAGGCATTCATCAACGTGCATACTTTGATATATTACGTAAATGTGTGTTTCATTTTTAAAAAAAATTGTGACTGATAGTTCGAAATGTACCGAAACTTTGCCTTTTCTTTTACAGCTAATCGGACACACGTAAAGGCTTTAAAAGAAATCGTGGCGGGTACTCTTTTCACACAAGAGGTCTCATATTATTACATTCACACAGTTGGTCGGAGGGCTCCACTTGTCGGTCCTACTTCTTTACTTCCCCTCTCATGCTTCTGTCTGTCAGTCTTACTTTTCACCCTTCACTAAATGACCACGATTGTGTCCATGCGATTTTCTCTACTCAAACAAACGAACAAACAAGCTAAGCAAGCAAGCAAACAAACAAATAAGGGAATACACAAACAAACAGTCAAACAATCGCATGTTCCCATCGCTACAACTACAGATGTGTTGTATAAATGATGTCACCGATCTTTCTGTTAAGAAGTGTTGTTTCTCGCCTCTTCATTGGCTCGTGGTTTAAAGCTTCATCCTCCTCCTCTCTTTCTCCTATCTCCCCCCCCCCCTCTCTCTCTCTCTCTCTCTCTCTCTCTCTCTCTCTCTATCTCTCTCTCTGTATACATG